CTTTCTGTAGTAAATGTTCTGGATACCTGGGCTGTGGCACTGTGTGAGCCAGTCTGGGACACTCGACAAAGTGAAGTGTTAATACATTATCTTTCCAAATCCCTTCCTTTTGAATATGCCCTCCACTATTTCCCAAGGACTTCAGAAGATATATCTCTTTTCACAAAACCAGCTCTGTCAATGGCATGATGGTGCTGTCATTATTCACACAGTAGATCACAACCCCCCCCTTATTATCAGGTTTGTTTTTCTTAATATTCCCCCCCTTTTTTTTTCATTATTTGATCCAGCTATTTCTACCTTCCTGTGGGACAGATGGAGTTGCCCATTTTTTCTCTCTTTCTTTTCCTTTTTTTTTTTTTTTTTTTTTGCCTCTTTTTTTTTTTTTTTGGTACTGACAGATAAAGAAAGATTTCTTTTCCAGGCAGAGAGGTGGAGGCTAATTGCTGGGTTAATTGAGAAGAATGGTGCTTCTGATGTTCTCACAAAGTATCAAATAGCTTCAACATATTTTTCCCCACTCTCCCTCACTCCACCTAAAGAGACCCATTGAATTTGCACATTACTGTACAGAAGTGATTATGGGTTTAATTGTATTTATTTTGCTTGGTGGAGAGGCCATCATAACAGTAGTTGATTGATTTTTATAAAATCACCCTCAAGGTCATATGTAGGATTTTGCTTTCCTGTGCAGCCATAACAAACAATTTGAGGGTCACAGCCAAAGGCTCAGTTGAGCAATATTCTTGCTTTCTGCTTTCAGAGAAGAGGTCAAGTGCAATAAAAGAAGGAAACGTAACTTTTATTTTCTTTTAGAAAAAGGGGAAGACAATCTTGTAAAGCAGCAGCTGTATATTTATTCTGACCCAATGAAAAACACAGAGATACAGAGAGCTGAGGGTTAAAGGGACAATATGCAATTTTTTGACATAAGTATTTGTAAGTTTGGCTAGAGTTTGTTTTACATTTAGATTTGGTAAATGGTTAAATGAATCCCTGCTAATGCTTTTCTTTTCCATGATGCTGCTCTTCTTCTATCTTCAGCAGTTGGACTTTTCTTTTTATACTCTGTTTTCTCTTTCCCCCATCCCTGTCATCCCATGGGGAGGGGACAGAAAGGTTTGTGCGAGGAATTTAATATTTCTAACCTGTGTTGTAGACAGCTTGAAAATTTATGGTGGATAAAATGTGTCTGAACCTTGGCAAAACTTTTGGGGATGTTGTTTGAGGCAGAACTATGATTTTGCGATCAAAAGTTAGGTCAACTTTAGTTACCAGCCTTCTTGGTTCAGTGGTACAGCATGGCAGCAATTAGAATACTCATTAAAAATTGTATGAAGAGAAGTGGAAACAGAAATTACTATATTTCACTGGGAACAGAGCATAGGAAGTCAATAAAGACCTTGGGGAAGATATGGGTTTTTTTACATTAGGAATAAAATAAATCACAGTGATTTACAGTTCCATTTTGAGATTGTGGTGATAATATTATTAACACTGCTGCTATAAGGCAAATGTTTTTAACAAATATTTCTGTTCTTAGTATGAGAAAGAACAAGATGGCAAATTATATCACAAGAGGAAGACGGACCAGCAGTCATTTATTACTATAGATTCTTAATATAATGAAGATATTAAATAATATCTTTCAGGAATGCACGTTCTTAAATCGACAGATTCAGTCTCATTCAAGAGCTTTAAAACTGCTGGAAGAGGCATTCTGTGGCCCACAGATATTAATTTCAGAGTACCTGGGAAATTACAGAGGACTGTAGAAGTTCTGATGTTGTGTCAGGATCCAGGCAGGTAAAAGGAAAAAAATATTGGCTACTTAGTCTGATATCAACCACAAGTCAAAAGAGAAAACTGGACAAAGTTAAATGTTACAGGTGATTGAATCCATAAATTACTAACTATAGGAATATACTGAATGACAAGACAGAAATTTTATGGCAGAAAAGGCAGAAAACTTTCGTTCATTTTCTAAGAAAATTACGAGTTAGTTTGATAAAGTTAACGCTGTAAAACATGTGATAGCGTGATGACTAACTGAGGATCACCTGCCAAGATCTCATGGCAGCTAGCAAACATGAAATGTACCAACTCAGAAAGTAAATGGTTAGTGGGGATCCATTTTCATGCCTACTTGGATACTGCTGCACGTCATCGATGACCTGAAAGTAAATGGAGAACCATCAGTGATCACATTTTGTGAATGTCATTCAAACCAAACGCAGATTTACACAGCTGAGAAGAGAGCTGGGCAGAGAGCAATTAGGGATGAAAGTCATGGTTACACAATAAGGGACTTTGTCAGATAAAGCCATGATCATGAAAAGGATCAGAAGTCAGCATGGCCCAAGGATGCCCACCTGATCTCTCAGTGTAATGAAAAGGCAAAAGGAGGTAGTATAATTTTTACTCAGAAAAGCAAGAGGCAGAGTGTGGGGATAAGCTAGTTTTGCCTCTATAGACAGCATAAAGAACATTAAAGGAACAGAAGGATTAGGAGGCCTGGCTTTCCAGTTTCAGAAGGAGCACTGGGTTGTGGGACAGGATGCACTGCTCCATGAATTGGAGACAATTCCTTGCAGAGAGAGTCTTAAAAAGCCTTATCAACCAGCCTGACGGAGGGCTGAGATTTTGTTTTACCTGTAAGTGCTTTCAAAGAAAATGCTGTTTTCTACACCTCTCTGCAGTGCAATGCAGGAAGGTATAAACAGAACCACTGTCTGAAAAGCTCAGCCTTGACAAGTTATGATTGGAAATAAAGCATAAATTGTGAACAGGAAGAGAAATCAGCTGTTGGAAAAGATGATCATAGAAAATGGTAGAGTGATGTCCCCAAGTCACTTAATTGATTGTCTGCCTTTCCAGAGGTGTGCAGCAAACACAGATGACTTGATTTCCTCCAGTTTTTCAATAGCAAGTTGTGCACAGATCATCATGCAATATGATCTAATGGTCCCTTCAGTCTGCAAATGAATATAATTTCAAGTATTATCCCAATTTCAGCATAGCATGTTTTGTGTTAAGAACATTTCATTTTTCTAGAAGATTCAGATGCATCTCAGAATAACAGATATCTTCTGTTGTGTTGCGTGAAACAAGCTGAAATTTGTGTTTTATCACAGTGTGTTCAGTATAATTTGTAAAAACACTGTATAGCAAGCTTAACAGAAATACATTTGTATATAGAAAAGCATGTCTAGGAAAAACAATTTACACAGAGGGAGTTGGTGTTTGTGGGAGCAATCTTATGGTTCCCAGTGGTTATAAGCAAGAAAATGTGAGATTTATCTCTTTCGTCTATTTAAGTATATACTGTAAAAACCAATGTGGAATCTACTGAAACATGGAAAGATAATATTTAATGGGTAGTCCTTATTCAAATATAGCTTTGTTGTAAGCCTAAGAAATTAGAACTAGGTTATAAAACTTTGCTATAAGACTAAGAAATCAATGAAACAATGAAAGCCCCTCAATGCAAGAATAAATGACGAGATCAGGATAAGCAGAATGTGTTTAGTAGGAGTGGATGCACCTGAGTGGGAAAGGCACAAGAGTGCTATGCATCTCCCTTATCACTAAGAGCAGCAGGACTGGATCAAAGGCAAGCAATGATCAAGGTAGTTTTTAATCTGTTTTTTTATATTAAAACTTCTTCTCTCCTTTTTTGTCTCAATACTGAAATTAAAGCAAAGGTCTAATCTCCTTTATCCTTCTTGCTAAGGATTGGCAGTATCTTGTGGGGAAGGAAGGCCAACTGTTCGGTAGGTATAGAGGTCACCATCAAAAACTGCTAACACCATTAGAAAGCTGACCGTGGTATGAGATGGCACAGTTATTAGCTACTTCGCATGAAGGGAAATGTTGGGAGGGTGATAGATCCTTTATAAAGAGGTCTGAGATTGCCAGGCTTTGAGGTATCCCCTACTAGCTCCTGAGAAGCATGGCTAGGCATAGGAAGACATATGCCCTGTGCAGAATGATCAGATGTCTGAGAGTCCACTCTGCCCAAATACGTTGTAAAGATAACGACAGTGTCCTTCATAGGAGAGGAAATATCAAAGGAGACAAAAGAGTAAACCATCCTGACATGACAGGCTTGGATCGCCAGTTCGCACAAGGCAAAAACAAAGAAGGCATTTGTCAGAACTGAAGAGAATGAGTCAAAACCAAGGGATGAAAATGTCTTTTCATGCACTATGTACTTAGACCACAGAATTCATTGCTTCAAGAAGTCATTGAGACTAAATATTAGAAAGATTTGAAGGATCAGATCTATATCACTGACAAATCTTATCCAGTTATACTAATAGATGGTAAAAGGAAAATGTTGGCAAGGAGATGAAACCTTATGCTCTGAGGTGAAGCTAATCTCTAGGGATTAAAATGAGGTTTTCATGGGATGGGGAGATCATCTCACATCCAGCTAACAGGGGGAAGTTTCTTACACTGTATTTGGAAGCATCTGGTTTTGAACAGCAGCTGGAAGAGCATGCAGGATTAAATTAACCGCTGATCTAAACAAGTTGCCAGTTCTTATGTTCCAAAGCTGTTTTCCCTTCCTCTCTCCCTGTCACAAGCAGTTTGTAATCTGAAAAGTAACGTACAAATTAAGTAGTAATATCCCTTTTTAACATTGAAAAAGTGAGCAGGTTAAAACTGGCGTTTTCCAAACCCACCTCCCTTGCACTGGAATTGGAGACACTTAGATGTTTGCCCAGGCTGAATGACCTTGCTCAAGTCTGGAAAGGCAGCCTGTGGCAGCATTGAAAAATGGATTGAATTAATAAGGTCTGTAAAGTCGTGATAAACCCCTAGGGAGAAGTACAGGGCAAGGTAGAAATTTTGCAGGATGCAGGAATATTTTACTCTTAATCTCGTAATTTTATTGCAGAACCATTTGTTTACCCATCTGTTACAGTTCCTTTGACTGTGAGGTAATGAATGGCAGTTAGATCTATGGTTGTGTTTTGCTCTTCTGTTGTCTTCAGGTGGCAAACTCTTGTTCACTGGTCCAGGACCTGTAGAACTACATGCTCATTACATTCTGGTATCTGATGGAGGAGAGCTCCGGGTGGGATCCCCAGAGGCCCCTTTCCATCACAAAGCACACATCTATCTCTATGGAAGCCACCATTCTCCACCATTATTTCCATATGGGGTCAAGTTCCTGGCAGTGAGGAATGGGACCCTTTCCATTCATGGTGAGTACATTTTTTCTTCTCTTCAAAAGCAAAGCACAAATGAATAAAAGAAAACAAAACAAAGCAAAAGACTTTTTCAAGGAAAAAAAAAAAAAAAGAAACAACTTTCATCATGAACTTGGATTTCTAATTGCAGATAGTGTTTGTTGAAATCAGGTTTTTGGGCCAGAACTTGATATCTTTGCTTTCATCATCAGACTCCTATTTCTGCAGTATCTTATGCACAAAAGCTCAGTGCTGTATCTCCATAAAAACTCCCATACTGGGAGCTGAATCATTTTTGAAAATCAGGACTCCAAGAAGAAGAAGGATGGTATAAAGTAATTATGAAACCCTGGCAGTCATTTAGGGGCCTAGAAGATGTTTGAATTTGTGCATGTCTGTCCACAGTGAAAGTCTCTGCCCCTTGGAAACTGGACCTCAGATCCCTGCGGTGAATCCTGTGGGTTTTCTCTGCTACTAGAGTGGGGTATCCTCCCCTCATCTCTCTCCATAACAACTAGGAAGTTTCCTCCCCAAAGCGGGTATGGCTCTTGGGATTTCCAAGAGAGGGTAGTCTGCCAGGTAGGTCCCATGGTGAGGCCAATGCCAAGCATGCTGCAGTTAGTAGCCTGTACCAGCTGGATTGGGGATGATACTTCTCAAAGCACCAGCAAAATGCTCCTGGCAGTGTGTTTTCCCCTCCTTCTCCATCTCTCCTTGCTGTGCTGGCATCCCAATGACAGTGGTCTGTCTCTAGCGTTAGGAGCACAGCTGGCATCTCTCTGTTTTGCTGGTGGCCCGCACAGCTGCACCTGCTTAGCACAGGTTGTTGTCATAAATGACAAGTCCACGGCCATGCAGAAGAACTGTGGCAATGCCAAGAATTTCAGTCCTAGGTGCCCACTCCTCTGCTCTAACCTCTGGACCTTCATCTCAAAGGAAGTCCTCCAGGGCCAGAGCTTTACATTCCTACCAAGCAGAAGAGACAAAGGATCTAAAATACAGAAAATGGCTGTATGTTTGCACATGTTGTGGCATAAAATAACTTACATACAGAGCTTTTTTGGAAGGCTATGAAACAGGTATAAAATGGCCATTTCTTGGTGCAGTAGAGTGGATATGGAATTCAGGTCCAAACTCAGCGTGAATCAGAATATTAGTGCAATGCATGCATGTTAGGCTCTTAACTAAGGGTCTGTTTTTAAAGGCAGGATGTGTCATAGAGGAGAAAAAAAAAAAAAGCCAACATATCTGAATGCCTCATCTCCCTCCCTATGTTCTCGTGTGTCAACCTTCATATTGGTAGGCGTTCATATCCTCCAGCAGGGCTTGAACTTACACCCTCCTGGCCTACAGGCAGAAATGTTGCTATCTGAGCATCACTGACACGTATGGCTCTCAGTCAGAAATGATGTCAGACACCAAGGGGTACCATGTGAGCACAGACAAGGAGCGAGCTGTACCGCTGTGCAGTAATCCTGTCAGTTCACAGGAACCGCGCAAGGTCGGGAGAGGGCAGTTGTTGGAGGGGGTCAGTGAACAGATGCTTTTCTGAATCAGGAGATATCAGCAGAGGCTGGGGAAGGTGCTCCTGGCAGTGGCAAGGGAGGTGGGCTGCACTCCTCCCGAACACCACGTCAGGTGCTCTGGACCACTTTGTCAAGATACAGAGAGCCTAAATTGTTTAGTGCTTGCAAGCGGCTTTAATAATTTCAGTAAACTGAAATTTGCAGAAGAGCAGAGAGTTTCTATCCCATTTCCTAGGGGGGTTCTGTGAAGAAGTGCTGTTAGATCATCTAGGCTGAATTGACTGTCCGTTACTGGCCATTGAGTTTCACACCGTTATCCCAGCCTTGAGTTCAGTAACTCACATTAGATTAAAGCATGCCTTCCAGAAAGGCTTGGTCTTTGAGGACATCAAGGGAAACGGAAGCCAGAATTTTCTGTAGAGACTTGTTCCAGGGGATTAATTTGGTTAATCATCCATGTTCTTATTTTATTTTTTTTAAAAGAAAAATATTAAAATGTCTGATTTGAATTTGCCTGATAACAGCTTTTACTACTTTGCTTCCTGTGTCTTCTCCTGCTGCTTTAAAGTATCCTTCCATTCTTGGTTTGACCCCTGTAAGTCATGATCTTGTCCTTAAATTGTCAGCACTTTATAACAAAAGCTTTGTCTTCTTTATACAGTTTACTTTTCCAGCAATGTAGGAAAAGCCAGTAGCATCTCCTTGCAGCTGTGGCTCCCGTGCTGCTTCTTCTTTCTGTTCTGAGCCTGTATCATCACTGGCTTTTGACTCCATCCTCATGGATAACCCATAAAATTATAGAGGCAAACAGGACAGAAGTACGTTTTACAGTGTTACCTTGACAATATGATGGAGGGAAGTAAACCCAGGTGTCCATGTCAGTACCCTCAAGGCATTTCTCACTGATATTTCATGTATTTTAATCAGTGCCGTAATTGTCAGTAATTCTTCATTCTTGAGGTAACTGAGAAGGTGAGGTCTTTAACCCAAGCATTACCTGGATGGAGATACATGGAGCCAAAAGTGGCGTGGCTTGGCTTGTTAGTGGAAAAATCATTTGGTTTCAATTTCTTATCAATTCTCATTCAAGAATTCTTCTCAATCTCTTATTCAAGAAATCCAGAAAAGCTATGGAGTCACTTTGAAGCTCTGCACTACACACAGTCCCTGTCTATGGCTGCAGTTAAGGTTTGTTCAAACCATGTAATCTGCAATTTGGCACTGAAGCAGCAGAAGCCTGTTAGAGAACAACTCACAAGAGTGTGTTCCTTTGCTGGGTTCATATCGCTTACATGAAATAGAAATACGCTGTTCTGTCTCCAATTTAGTACCAGTCTGGCCTGTAGTATAGAACAAATTGTTGAGCATGACAGCCTCTTTCATATACATATGAAAAAGGGTGACATGCCTAGCAATATACATTTGTGAGATACATATATATACACACATATATACGTTATCTCGGATCAAAATCATTAAATAAGCAGGCTTCCAAATTCTTAGCTGTCGTGGTGAAGACAGGGCTGAGCGCGTTTTCATTCCTTTTCTCTTTCAGACTGGGGAGTTTGAGGGACGCTCTGCAGCCATGGTTGAGTTCAGGTTGTTTAGTAAGCGCTGTCAGCTCCTCACTTTGATATGTTAATATGACTAAGGGTTTCCCACAATCCCCTCGTGAGTGGCAGTCCTTTGCTCCGGTGGTTGTAGCAGACTGGGAAATTTCACTCTTGCCTTTGGCTTTAGCCAACTCCCCTGCCAGTCAGAGCGTGCCACCCATAAACTGCCTGTCAATCACACATCAGTTTTAAAGGGGGTTTCAGTCAGCCAGGGCAACTCGACTTTTTGACAATGTAATTATGGCCCTTGCATCCGCAGTAGGGGCCTGAGCGGGGCTGAGAGAATTTTATTGATTGTTCAGAAGGGAAATTTATCACTGTCTCCAGCTCCAATCGTACTTTATTCCCTGAGAAACTCTCCTGACAAGCTTCAGGAGAGAAGTTTAGCATGGTGGCCTTGGTTGTTCTTGGGCCTTTGTCCTTCCCAGGGAAACGGGATCGGAGACATCAGCAGATGCTGAGCGGAGAGCAGGGACTGGGTGCGGAGGCAACGTAAGTGGAGATGCTGCATCAGTAGCCGAGGACACCTACCCTTTCTTTGCGACAGCCTAAATTTGTGGTCCCAACACTCTTATTACCATTGGTGGAAAAATTTTAAAGGCCTTTTCCATTCTGTTCCATTTTTAGCAGTCCTGTGTAGATGAGCTCATTGTTCCATTGTGTTCCCTCGAAACAGTCTGTGCCTCTTCCCAAAAGAAAACCAGTGCTTTTGCTGTGTATTTAGCTGAAATTTTGTCAGTGCCAGCACTGTGAAGATATGGGGCATGAACATATGAGTCTGATCCCTGCATTTTGGCTAATAATATATAGCTCTCCAACTAGATGGAAGGCACTACGCTTTAGATTTAATAGCATGGTACACTCACTTTGTCCGGGCTGTGAAACTGTGTGGTAAAGAAAAAACAATGTCCAGAGAGTTTTGGTTTAATGCCGTACCTATTTATAATCAGCATGAGTGAAACAGAGGTGTCAGTGATCATTTCAGTCCTCTGAAGTCATGCATAGTCCTGCTGCAAAGAGTGTCCTGGCCCTTGCAATGGATGCTGACTGTGGAAAATTGCAGAGTCATAGAATCATAGAACGGTTTGGGCTGGAAGGGACCTTAAAGACCATCTCATTCCAGCCCCCCTGCCATGGGCAGGGACACCTTCCACCAGACCAGGTTGCTCACAGCCCCATCCAACCTGGCCTTGAGTACTTCCAGGGCTGGGGCAACCACAGCTTCTCTGGGCAACCTGTGCCACGACCTCACCACCCTCACTGGGGAGGATTTCTTCCTCGTATCTCATCTAAATCTTCCCTTTTCCAGTTTAAAGCCATTGCCCCTCGTCCTATCACCCCATGCCCTTGTAAAGTTTACATTAATAGGACATTATAGAGGCAATTCTGCACTTCTTTTGTCCCAGACTTCTCTGCAACCAAAACAATCTTATACATTTTCAGAGTTAGCTCAGAAAAAAAGTATTTTTTATCAGTTGAACCAATTATTAATTTTAATAACTTTTAATCAATAATAAACCACAATATATTTGTGAGCTGTGCACTGCGCTCTACTGAGCCTGTGCATTCCTCAAGAGATCAAACGTTTAATCAAATGCTTCTTGCTTTTCCTCCATTAAGCAGTATTATGTATCTGTGCTGAGTTTGAGATTAAGAGATCATAGACAACATGAGAGAATTTGTTCTGCTTTACTCACATATTAAAAAGAAAACTTTCCCAGGGGGAAAAAAAAAAGAAAAAAAAAAAACTGTAGCAGGGGGATTCAAGATAGAGTGCAGAGATCTGCAAGAGATAAGATGTGCTTTTTTACATTACTGGAATGTTCATCCATTATATACATGTTATTTCCACTAACTGAAGCCATTGATTTGCACA